TTTTCTGAGCTAAAGCATCCTTTGTGAGTTGTTGGGAATGCAAGCAAGAATACACACCCCTTCAACAATTTTTTTTCGAGCTGCAGAAATATTTCTTTTATTGGATACAGTTTCAACATAAGAAAAATAATCCCCTTTTTCAGTTTTATCCAAGTAGTGAAAATAAAATGCAATACGAGCATCCCACAGATCTTGGATTCTTTCTAAAACACATAAAATGTACACCCACCTATGGTCTGGTCTCTTCAAGGGCTTAAGTTTTTTAATGGCAAGGGATTCACAGATTTTGAAAAAATTCTCTTTTTACTGCAGCTTTTCATATCAAAATAGATGTCATCAAACAAATCTTCTAAGTATCTATCAAAACATGAAGTAAATTTTTTTGCACAGTTATTAGCTGTGTCACATGTGTCACCATCAATATCTAATAAGTGAAGTGCTTTGTTTGATCGTAGTCTGGTTTTAACACCTTTTTTTTTCCCACTCATGGTGTTACACAAGTCCATTAATACACTAATTAAGTTTGCCCATGGAATATTATTATCTTCAATAGTATTAACAACTGCTTTAAAAACAGCTTCTGAATTGAAAGATTCCATCTTTAGAGATGCAAACTGATGAACAACTTCATTTTGAACGTTGTCATAAAACTGCACCAATATTGCCAGTATACTTTCTTGAGCATTGCTAGTACTTTCATCCAAATTTAGAGAAAATGGGAGTCTTCTTTAAAGTTTTAATGATATTTTCCTTAATAGTTTTTGCGAGCCCATACTTCATCTTATAACATGCAGTAGTCCTGGACATTTCCAACGAGTTTACTGCCGTCTGATCGTGGCTCAACTGTTTGCAGAGTTCAATTAGATTGGAAGCTACATTGAAAGAAAGAGAATTCCCGGCGATAAACGAAGTTATTAATAGCTCTTGGTGTGCTTTTCTTGTCACTATATCCAATGACCGAGCATCAGTCTCCAGTAAGTCATCAGTATTTTTTGAATTAGCATAATTACTTAAAGTCATTGAATGTCTAATGCACTTTGAATATTTTATGTGCGTCACAGTTTTAGAATGATTTGTGAAACCTTGAATCCTCCCCACCATACTTCAGCAGTGAGTTACAAAAAACCAATAGCTTGTCCAGCACATTTATTTTCTTGCACATGTGCCGATGGTATCCCCATTACCATCTCTCCATTCAATCCAATTTCACCTAAATGCATTCCGGACACACCTTCTAATTGTATAATAATCACTATATCGAGAAATTTCATAGTGAAATTCTCTTGCATACATAAATAAAAAAATATTTCAATAACGAAACGAAAAATTTACACGTGCATCAATAAATGAAACGAAAATTACACAGAGAGAAAAAAAGTTGAGAAGAGATCAATGACAATAGCTATACAGCGAAAATCCCCTTCTCACTTATTGGCACCCCGCAGGAGAGATAAGACCTTTGAACCCAGAGTCACGTGATCCCAATCTGTCAATGAAGTCTCTCCCTTTTCTTTCTGCCGCCGCCTACTTGCCGAAAAGAATCCAGAGAGAATGTCCGAACCGGGGGAACGAGTCATACTCGAATAAGGAAAGAACAAAAAGAAGTTTTTTTCCCCCTTTTCATGCATTATCACTGCCTTTGGAGAAGAAAGGAAAAGTTTTCACCACATACACTGACCTTGCGTTTTCTGCTTTCAAAGCAAACAAAATTACCCAGATCAAAATAAATAATTCATTATTATTCCTACTTCCTTTTGAACGACGATCCCCGGAATCCTGGAGCACAAACACCCCTGAGTAATGCATGCGTGCTGGGCCATCTTTGAATTCAATCGTCGCCTTCAGCCGTCTTGCCATTGTGTCTGCTAAGCGGATCGTTTTCACATGTTTGAGCACTCCATCCCTCCAAATACATATACGGCGATATCATCCCAATAAAACAAGTGATCTGTCTCTTTTACCATTATTGTTTCATTCATAAATAAGTTATAGTTATTCTATTTTAAACAAGCCCCCCCCTTGTATTCTTAATAAAAATTATCAAATACTTTTTACAAAGTGGTTGAGTTTAGGTAAATGAGATTAAAAAAACGGAAACAATGAGAAATTATCTCCGGTACGTAGCACGAGCACAGTTAAAATACCGAAAAAAGAAAACATGACACATATTTGGAATTTGGTTTTACTTCTTGTAGTTATGATGGAATTGAAAAGCCATTATGCTTCATTTCTAAAGAAGTTTTGGCTACAGAAAGCACGAAACCTGTGAAATTAAGGCGACATCTCAATACAAAGCCTACTGTGCACTGCAAGAAACCCAAAGAATACTTTTAACGACTTTTGAAATCATCAAAAGTTTGGCTTCGAGAACTTTGTTACTGAGAATGAAAAGTATTTACTTGCATCTTATTTAACTGCAAAAAATAAAAAGGCCTATTCAGTTGGACAAAATCTAATATTGCCGGGTGCTATTAAGATGTCCGAAATAATTCAGGGCAAAAAGTATGCGAATGAAATCCTTAAAATTCCATTACCCAACGACACTGTTTCAAATTGAATTTTGGAAATTAATAAAGATCAACATCAGCAGCTAATAACTAGGTTCAAAATGAGTCCTAAGTTTGCAATTGGGTTGGATGAAGCAACTGATATAACCAACTTATCTCAATTATTAGTTGTATGTTAGATATATTTTTGAGGGATGTATTCATGAGGAATTTTGGATGGTCACACAAGAGGAGAGGACACTTAGCTAATGAATACACAAAAAGTTAATTCATTTTTCATTGAAGAAAATTTGCAATGGAAAACTAAATGTTGGCATTTGCACAGATGGCACTAGAGCGATGGTCGGTGAAAAAACTGGATTTCTAGCCAAAGTTAAGGAAAGTAGCAACAAACATATAGCATTTGCATATTGCATGATACATCAAGAGAGCCTGGTAGCGGGAGGGGGGGAAGCAGAGTTAGATGTATTGTGTTTCAAGATAGCGTTAAAGTGTTCAACTTAAAAAGTCATGCCCTGAATAATCATTTGTTTTCAAATCTTTGTAAAACGATGGGTTCTGAATGCAAAAATTTACATGCAAACGTGAGGTGGCTTTTAAGAAGACACAGTTTAAAAAGGTTATTAAAATTAAAGAGGAATAATGAAAGTATCCATATATACTTTCATTTTTGCATAATATTACAACAACTGAACAAAACATTATTGAAAAACATGAAAGACATGGTAAAATACTCCAGAAGACAAAACAATTATCAGTTTGAAGTCTCAAATTTTATGAAGTTTCTTGGCAGAAGCAAATAAATTAGACAATCTGAAAATTTTTAAGGCATTATAAAACTCATCAAAGGATAGAAATTTAATGTTTCACAGAACCTGCACTATAAAACATTTCTTTACAATATTCTTTTATAAAATGATACGTTTGGGTTTTGATTCAGATTTAAGCAATTATGAAAATATCTGAATTTGACTTTATGACAATCTTAAATTCAAAGGAACTGTGAAGGGAGTATTAACATAACTTTAAATTCATTTCTGATGAATTAAATTGTTCAGAAACTGATAGTAATATAGCTACTAATCCTGAATTATGAAAAGCCAAGAAGATTTTATAAAGAAAGACTTTCCAAAACAACATGATTTTGCAATAGAATTTTACTTTTCTGCAATGTTTGTTGGGCTAAATTTAGCATTTTTCATAAGTTATTTTATAATGCATGATTAGAATTATTAAATGATTTAATACAATATAAATTTAGAATACCAAATAAAATATTAAGCTCTTTAGCTAATCTGATTTTCTATGTTCTTAAAATTTCATATTAGCGAAACTAAGTATTGAAGAAGTCTATATATGGATAAAGTGATAAAAAATAAATAAGATAAACTAGAAAAATCATGCTTTAAACATTTGGATAAAAATTCTGAATTTTCATAATGTGATTAAACGATGTCAATGCCATTTCCTCAGCTTTTCCAAGAATTTGCCAAGAAAATTTTCTTCATAGCATTTAACAATTAAAATCCAACAGTTCTTTCAGAACTATATTTGAAAGACATGATCCAAATTTAGATAAACCTAAAATTGAGAGATTCACACAATTACCTAGAAATGCAAACTGGAGGAGAAAATGGGAAAGCTGGCAACTCTGATTATAATTACAAACAATCAATAAAAAGCATAATCAATCATTTTTATCATACTTATTACCCTTTCTCTGGAAACATTCAAAATCAAAGCTAACATAGTGAAATCAAAATACTAATTATTTAATGTGAACTTTGAAATATAATAAAAACATTTACTTTACAAAGAGTTTTATTTATATAATTGACTATTGTGATGCCCACAATGGTTAATTTAAATGTTTTCAGCTAGCCCAACCTCATAAATAATGGATGTATAACTCCCTAAAATATTACAAAATACAAATGATAGCCAAACCTTCAGTAGAAAATTTCACTTACTTTATATGGATTAATTAAATCATTTAGCTGCTTTATATTTACTATATTTACTTAGTATGTAATGAAATTTAAATACATTTATTGTTTCCATACCCACAACTTCGACATTTTGAAGACTGCGTATTATTGCGACGCGTTAGGGTAACGCGGTAACATAATGGAATTCTACTGCTGCAATAAAGAGTTTAGATTTGCAAAGGAATTGATAATTTTATTCATAAATGGCAACAGAATAATACTGGGAATTTTGGTTTGATGTTCTTAATTGTATTTTTGTTTTAATCTGTGTTTTAATGTTTTGTTTGTCTGTGCTCGGTGTGCTGGATTAACCATGAGGCCGATTATTATTGGCCAGCAAGGTTGCAGGACATTCGTATACTACATGTCATTATCCACAATACTGAATTTACATTAAAATTCCAAATTTTACCACTCTTTACCAAGCATAAAAGAATGCACCTGAGATGTATAAATGCTATACAGAATTGTTAAACATTTAACTAAAAAAGCAGAAAGATCAACAACAGTTTTTCAAAGAAAAATTTATTTACATAACAAAACTATTATTGAGGAATATTCATGCCTTCAAAAATATAAAAATCCAGCATTTAAACCAATTCTCAATACCTTCAAAGCATATAGCTATTTACATTTTTGTTCTTGAAAGCATGAAAGCTGTTCTGTTAATACCAGGCAATTAGCCTTGACAAAACTTGAAAATATAAATAGGGCAATATTTTTGCCTTCATTATTGCATAAAAATAAACTCCTCAATTGATTTACATGACGATTCTCATTTATTATAAATAAATATCAGCATTTCAAATAGTATCACAAAATGTATTTGTTAGCCAGAGGCTCAAATGAAAATGCATCTTGCTAAATAACATGATGATGATTCATTTGTAAGTAAACCAGAAATGACTGAGAATTTTCATTGCCAAAGCAAAGGCAAAGTTTTATATTAAACAATATACATTTAGCTTATAAACATCTAAAAATGTGGAAAAAATGAATTAATCAAAATTACTGTCTCAATACATAAAATGAATTACTTAATTTTCCATTATTTGGCTTCTCTCTGTGAGATGCTGTCTCATTACCAATAGCAAGTTCATATTCAAATTTTTTTTAAAAAAAAGGGAATTATGCACCACCTCTAATACTGAGATAGTGATTAGAACCTTTAATTTATGCCCAAGGCATCTTCAAACAACAACATTTTAAAACTGATGTAAATTATTTGTAATTTGATGAATATATTTGATTGTGATTAGTACATTTAACTTATGCCTAAGGCATTTTTAAATAAAATCAACATATGGCTGTAACGTGTACATGTCCATCTATATAACAAAACATTTACCATAATTGTTTTTCTAGCAAAGTTATTTAGCACAGATACGGATGTAGAAATGGAGAGACTAGAATAAAAGTCATTACAGTGATAACAAACATCAGTAATATGCTTTACAGCAGCATAACCCTGCTCAGTGCAAAAATTTTGCATCTAAAAAATAATTGCTTTTGTAGAAAGATCAAGTTCCTACAAGAGAAGGGATGCATAAAATTTACATGTACTATTTACAGGTATGTAAAAGAAAATTATTAGTTTACATGTACAGGCACTGGTTCAACTGGAATAAGTGATGTAAAAAATGAAGACACAAGGTTTAGAGTAGTTGACAGGGCTGATGTGAAGTTCGACCTTTCATTGCTATTTTCGGCAGGCTGGCTTGATGCAGGGGTTTCAGAAGTCTGAAAATGAAACAAATTAGTATTTTAAACAGATGTCACTATTATAAAAGTTAATATTTAAAAACTAGATACATACAGGTTTTATAGTTTAGTTTAGGGCTATGTGCCTTAACCGCCACAGAAAACGCACAAGATTCATTTCCCAGTGCCACGATTTTTCACACAGGTGCGTAGTTATGCAATGTATTAATTAGGGGGAAAATAAGTGCAAGTTTTACTTTCTAAAAACTGCTTACTTTCACAAAATAAAGATAAAAGAAAAAAATTAATGCACAAAATTTTTTAATAATGGAAAGAAAAGTATGCCCACAAAATTTAATGTTTAGAGAAAGTATAATAAAAATGTTTTTATAATAAAAAAGATCTCCAAAATGGAGTTTTGATCAATTTATTTTTAGACCAGTAAAGTATAATATCAGGTATTTTTTCTGAACTGGTTGAATGCCACGATTTTGTTCATGATTTTTCGTTTGCAAGCTGTTGGTTCATATACTCGTCTACTAAACGGCTAGTTTCAGTAACAATATGAAGCACCAGCAGTTCATTAAAAAATAATTCAAAACAGATAGATGGGTTTAAAACATTTGTTATACCTTTTCTTATTGCTGGAACCTACTACAAAAGTAAACAAAAACGGAGAACATGGGGGGGGGATGTTTTACTCAAACACCAGCCAATACCATGCAGTCATTACCGCTTTAGACACATCCCTCTCTCCAATTTCTCCCCACACTTCTCTGAAATAGTATCCTCCTTCGCTAATTTGTAAAGGTCCTGTGGTGTTGCATTCCAAAGCTTGCGAATAAGTTTATGGGGTGGTCAGGGTAGCAGCGCAAAGCCCAAATGATAGTACAGTATATTCCAGAATCCGTACTAAGGCTTGGGACCAGAGGTTGTGCGGGATTTTCACGACAGAAAAAGATAAATCATAAATTCAGACTTAAAAGTGCAAAAAATAGGCATATTAGATACATTTAATTAAATATTATAACATTTGCCAATAACTTATTACAATATATAAAATGATTATATTATTCATAGAGTATATATAACAGACCGAGGGGTTGGCAAGATTGCGTCTGTGCAAAGATTCCGGTTTTGGATTCTGGTGTTAGAGTCAGTTGCTGTAAAATTCAAAAGCTTTCGTATATCATAACATCGTATCGCAATTCTATACGTTCTGCTATAAACCAAGGAGTAGCACAGTCTCCATCTTTTGCAGAATTTGCATTTTCATTACTTCAATGCAATGTTTAAGTTTTACGTTGAAAGCAGAAAATCTGAGTGCGTTCTATCTGAATGTATAAAAAGGGCTGAAATTAAAATATTCTTATTATCCACAAAATCCGAATAAAAAAAAAGGCAGCACTAAATAATCTGTGAAATACCGAGCCAGAAAGAAAATACAACAACGGATCGCGAATTGAAAGAAGGAGTTGAGGTGAATCGTCTGCTTCTTACCTCAAGAGATTAGAAGAGAAAAAAACTTTTATCATGATGACAAATTTGGTATTTCCGTTAGACTGTATATTGGTAATTATATGCGTCATATTCGCCGTAAGTATTTTTCTTCGATATTTGTACTCATACTGCGGTTTCCTGAACCTATAAACTGAATGTTTATATTTTGAGAGGTAACGCGGATTTCAGGAGTTGGCGGATTTTCAGTATTTGACTATTTTGGAAGGGCGCATATATACGCCCGGGGCACTTAACGCATCAGCTGAGAAAGGCATATATATACACCCACGGCAGTTAAGGGAAGAGATGACTTCATGAGGGATTTTCTAAAAGAAACTGGCTCGCATTCATGTTACAAATGAGAAAAACCACAAAAACGGCCATACAGCCAACCCTTCACCTGGATTTGAACCCAGGTCAGAACTGCCAGTGCTCACCTGTTTTATCACTCGGCTGCTTTTGGGCTACAGGTTTCACAGTTTATAAAAAAATTAAAATTTTTTTGCCTAGATACTGTAAAGCTAAGTATCCCCACAGGCTGTTACACTTATCTCTTTGAATACATTTAAAAATTTGCCAGAATAAGTTTAAGCATATTTACAATATATAACAATTTTATATTCAAAATCAACATTTATTACTAGGATCCAACAGATAAATATGTGTGCAAAACAAACGAGTGAAACATTTAATTGGTAGCTAGCAAACAGGGAAAACAGGGAAATTTTAGCTTTATTTCTGTTTATAAAATACAACTCATTACGAATATTCATAATTTAGCATATAAAGTAGAAGTAAAATACATATACTATCATTAAATTTGTATTACTGCATTATTTTACATATTTGTGTATTATTTCAATGTTACATTTACTTACACATTTTGCATTTTTTTACTTTGTGAGCACTTTTCTTTTAAGCATCTAATTGTTTTGCTTTATTTGTAATTTTACAAAACAGGCACTAAAATAATACATATAGCTTAAAAAGATTTGGAGTTGCAGTCTGCTGAATTTCACCTAGCCTTAACAGTTTAAACAATTCCTAAAAATACATTTATAGGTATATGTAATTTTCCTTTCCCCCTTTCGTGATTCTCTAAATACTACTGACATGAAAGGGAACTAGCATCAGTGTAGCCGATTTGCAGACTGAAGGGATGTTGAGCTTGCTACTTTTACTCGATTAAGTGATTTTATAACTAGCACTTTTGTTATATACTCATTTTGTATTAGCAGAGCAAAGTTATATCTGTCAGTTTTGGCTATTACTAACTTTTCCCCCTATTTGTAATAACCTATTACTTACAACTGGAATAAAATTTCAAGTCTTCTTAATATGGCCTATTTTTAAGATCTTCATGAATCAATAACAAAACTATTACAATGGATATCAGTAGTCATTAGCAAACATAATTTTGAATATATTAATGACGTTTTATCTCGATGACCAACCTAATGTAAGATGTAATAGATTATAGAAGTAATGAAACAAGAGATTTTAGATGCTAAAGGAATTTAAATAAATAAAAGTCATTTCTAACATTATACACCATGTATTTCAACTACAGAATAATGTGATGCACATAATAACTCATCTGTATGGTTCCGAGTAATTATTAGACACAAATTTTTTAATAGACATCGGAAGCTATTTTTTAATATAGATTTAAAATACATACGTTGTATTTTAATCAACTAGTGTCTGTCAACCTTGAAAATGACCTACATGGAAGAATGGTTTTCGAAGGAACAGATAATTTAATATTTTGAGGAGGTTACCAGTTAACTGCCAATACTGCTTTATTCAATATTCAATGCAATTTACAGATTATATTAGCTTATGGATAAGCTATTTTGATATATATATATAATATATACAGCTTCTGTTTCGTACCTGGCTGTAAAAAGCAAAATGCTTCCCCTTCCCCCCTCCCAACTATTAATTAGCCGCTTCCTCAAAATGGACCAGAAATTACATAAAATATTGACATTAGCTACCTAAAGTTTTCCACTTTTAACAGAAAATTCTTCTACAGAATTATGTCCATAATGCAAGTCTTTTATAACTTTTATAACTGGCACTAGTCTTTTATAACCACATAAATGAGAACTTTACGAGAATATTATATATTTATAAATACCTCATTTCCTGCTGCATGAATGTCAGCTGATCCTCTTTGTTGGCTGCTTCTAGTTTCAGATGCATCTCTTTCATTGGCCATGCGTCGAGCTTCTCTAAGACGATGCAGTCTGGTCATTTTTACATACCTATAAATTTTTTTTTAAATGTTAAATTTTATCTTGATGTATGATTAGACGAGTTAAATTTGTGTCATTCACAATGCAGAAGTTCAAATGTGCACATATATATTTTATATCCAAAACATTATTTAGTATAATAAACCTTATTTTCTTTAATGGGCCTCTGACACTAGTGTCAGTCACAACCCTATCTGTATTAGATCATTGATTAAAAAGGCAAAACATCTCGGTTCTTATTACCTTCATCTTTCATAAGCCTTGCATATTAAGATAGTCCTAAATACATCATTTTCTATGGGCTTTCAGTGTCCACCTTATTTTTAGAGTAATAATTTATGGAAAAACCAAAATAATGAAAGAATATTTAGAGCCCCTTTTTAAGACCCATGGTCATGGACCTTGACAGCCTAAGCAGTAATTATGCCATGCCCATATTCTTAAATCTGCCACTAGGAAAATAAATAAAAAAAAGTGCTAATACAGAGGGCAAAGTCTAATCACAATGCAAGAGATGCTAAAACCTTTTTGTTCACAACAGCTACTGGCACTGCAAAGTGATTTTTATTAAAATATTCTTTTATGATCAGTGGCGGGTACATTTGGCATTGAACAACACAGAGTCATTCTATTGATCTGCAGTGTTGCTGTCTGTCAACATGCTTATTTATACCTTTCGTACAGCAAAAGCAATATCTGATTTCAAGTCTCAGAGTATACTTATTGAAAGAAAAAAAAATTCTAAAAATCCAAAGTTTTGTTATTCCAATACAACATAAAATTTTAAAATCGTAAAAATAAATTTTAATTTAAGTGAATAAAAATAACTGAAATTATATGAAGCTAAAGAAATACATATTTTCACTTAAAAGTACAATAAAAAATTCATAAAAAAAAATAAAAAAGTGCAACTATTAATTCACTTTGCTCAGTAAAATATTAATAAATTAAATATGAATTACCACAACATTATGTCAACAGCAGATGGACAAAGACTGAATAAAATTATATTTCTATGGAGTACATCAAACAATTAATACATATTAAAACTCAAAATGGATATTGCTGAAAATGTTTAATCTAAAAAAAATTCCCATTTACATCTCAATACTAAAAATGTCAGCATTATGTCAAGGCCAAGAACAATATATATAACATAAGAAATTCAATGGAATCCCATGACATGAAATACTATTTCATGATTCTCTATGATTAGGTCACTTTTCTCATATTTCTGAAATAGTATATAAAAACGCAGGAGTGAGATTAAGATGGGGACTTAATTGTAAAATTATCATATCAATGATAATTTTAAGATTTATGCATTGTTTTACTGTATATTTTATCTTACAATACAAAAATTTATGGCTTTATCATACAAGTAGGCGTTTTCTTGTACAGCACTATTTTACTACAATAAAGATTTACATGATAAAATACTTTTTGTTTATGGGATCAGTTATAGTTTATATCAATAAATATGCACTGACAAAGGGAAACAAATTTCACTGAATAGGCTTTTTTCTTTAAACTAACGTTCACAGGCTACTGTGAAAAAATATATTCCAATGGACTAATTTGCTAATGCAGACTGTAAAACGTTTATAAAACCAAAAGGTGGTAAAGCAGGGATGGCATTAAGAAGACCAAAAACTGTTTAACAACTGATGTAGCAGTTTATCTACTTCGGGGAGTTAGTAAAAATATGAGTTTATTATAATTAATTATTACTATGCTGCACACATTTCAGCTTTGAATAATCCACCTTTTTGCCCATAGAACATATAAGATTAAAGCACTAATATAAAAAATTATCCCATGTTCTAATTCAACTAACAAAATCAATAATTTAATGAAAATAAATTTTTAATACTAGAATTTCATACACTTACAATGTCATAACTAGTAACAGCAGGAAAACCATCAATACTCGAGGAACGGATGAGTAATAATATACAAGAGCGAAGATCACGATAGCTCTGGTAAAAATATACAGATAATCAATATAGTCTTGATCTTCATCCTCAGCCGGCCTTCGGGGAGCAACAGGAACTGGATTTTGTGGGGGCACTTGTGGTGGCTGGGGTTGAACAACTGGCACAGTAGGTGTAACTGGTCCACGAGGAATGCCAAAAGGTGTACCCCCATTATATCTAGTTAGAAAATTTTAAATAATTCTAACAAAATAAATATAAACAATATACTTGCTTTCATTATTTGCAAATATAAATTTACATCAAGCAATAATAAAATTTTTTCAGATAGACATATTCTTAATTGTTAGCTCTCCCTTATGCCTTACCATTGGTTACCGTATTTACAGTATGTGTCTGTATTTATAATAGGTACCACTAATGTACCATCAACATTATAGTTAAACAAAGAGAATGTCAGTTATTATAATGGAATGAATAGTAGACAAACATTAGAATGGGTAGATCAGTATAACAAGTATATCAAGACTAGTATATATTAAAACATTTTTTAATCATAAAAAATGTTAAAACACTGACTAAAAATTAGGTATAATTCCACTTTAAAGTATTTTATTTTACAAGATATTTAAGTTTGTTTTGTGCTTCAATTTGCATAATCAGTAATTAACTATAAACAACTACAATACAAAAGCATATATTAGTTCATAAATGCAAATTACTGGAAACTTCGAGCAATTCAAATCTTAAAAAACTCTTTTGAGGTTTAATGTATAATAATACTGTCAGTAAGCATGGAAATTTTTTTTTTTAAGATAAGATTCAGTAAACGACTGTCAAGTAAATGACAAAAATACTTTTAAGAGTCTTCTAAGTACTGTTAATAATATTAAAAATTATTTCTGTTTTCTGGCAAGCATGTTAGCTTCTTATACATTACCTTCAAAACATTTAGTAAATGGTTATAAAAGAGAAAAATTATTCTGTTTAAAAAATTATGCTAAAACTATACTCATCTTCCTTAACAATTCCTCCAGAAATTGATATTTTGGAGAGAAGCATCTGAATTTTTGAACACATTCTTCTTTTTAAATTATGCATTAAGGGTTAGTACCATCTAATCATCACTATGGTTAAGTAATGACAGAGTTAGTAGGAACAAAATATATATACATTCAGTCAAAAGTCGTTAATCTGGACTCCTCGGGACTTCGGCAATTCCAGATTATCGATTTTTCCGGATTATAGATCATCAGTTTAAATCTGGTAAGATGGCATGCAGAAATTATAAAATTAAAATAAAAATATGAAACCATAATTTATGAAATAAAGAACAATTATGATCTAAATGGTATCAAAATTTAAAAAAAAAAAAAAAGCTTAATATTATTGTTTACTTTATTAAACATTTCTTTCAATGTAAGTTGTTTAAGTTGCTTCATTTTATGTGATAATACTTTCTCTTTAATTCTATAAACAGACAATTTCTTCTTCAGTTACAAAGTTCCGCTGTTCAAGTCCTATAATTGCTGTGTCGAGAATACCGACTAATTTCTAGATCGAAATTTTTTCGTTTTCAATAACCTCTGTATCACTTTCTTTTTTATTGGAAGCGAATTATAATGACGAGGAATTTGATTTAAATCAAAGACGGAGTACATCGAGATGAAATACTACATTTAGTAAGGAATTATAAGAGAAATAAAATAAAAACCTCTGCCCTGAAGATAAGGATAAGCTGACAGATTAACTTCCAATTCATTGCGTGCCCGCCATGGCGTTTCCCCCCTCCCCCCGGGCCGCAGAGCAGCATGAAATTGATAAACTGATCTCAGAATGGTTTGAGAAAAAAAGGATATGCCTTTATCCATTTTTTTGCAGCAATTCCACTTTTTGTTTAATGGACTTCTAAACATACTTTCATTTTGTAGATCCTTTGACATATTCCAGTAAATATCGGAAACTCTTATTTGACATAATCGAAAGTTCAAGCGTAATACTTTTATAAAATTGCTCTAACAGTCTGCAAAAAAAATAATAAGCCGATCCAATTCGAAGATTAAGGAACAATGCAATCTGCAACATTAACTGAATTAGATAATTTTAGCTTAGCTTATACCGTCCGTTATACATTAAACGCGCAATCGTAAATGTATTTTTGTGCATGTGCACACGCATATTCGCAGCCGTAAAAGTCATGCGTCAAAGCGACGCATGCGCAGAAAGTTTGTAGCTTTGAGGTCCGGATTAACGACTTTTGACTGTAGTATATATAATACAAAACACAAAATGGTCAAGTCATAAACGCAAATAATCAACATGCATTTAACTTTCAATCAAGATTAACTGACAAACTGCAATATTCAAATGCTGGGATTTATTTTTGTTTCCAGCACTCCAAAACTAGAACACAGAATTGCATTCTACTACATAAACATCAATCAAAACTTAAGTTACACATTAAAATTTTGAAATTCAAATAAAGCAAAAAATATATTTTAATTACTAAAAATTACATATATTAATGCACTATTGATATGATGCAGTCATTTATTATCATTTGTAAAATGCAAACATACAAAGCTAAACTGAAATAAAAGAAATATATTTAGAATCTATAAAATTACAAAGCTAAAAGAAATATATTTACATAGTATATATAAAATTACATTATCTTACTTACTAAGTAAACACTCATTATATTAAAAAATAGTGAAAATTATACTATAAAAAACAGAGATCAATTTAAAATCCACTTACTGAGAGAGGTATTGTGTCATAAACTGTGTATACATCTGCTGCATGGCCAAATACTGATTGACAGTATCAGTAGCTGGATTAAAGACAGATACATTTCCAGGAATGCCTCCGCTGAAGAAAGTTACATAGTTATACAGATAATCCAATTCAAAAATTAATAATATTATACAGAAGCACACTTTGAGAAAGTTGCCAGTAATATTTAAATTATGAATAGTGTCACTCGTGTGTTCCCTAAACTGAGAAGGGAGGGATTTAACAGCATAAATTAGATATACTATTTAAAAGAACCATTACTTATAATTTTACTAAAAAAAATACTTATTATTTTGCTAAGGAAAAACGAAACCAACATCTGAGAGAGAACAAAATTACATTTTTCAAGTATCTACATATAAGCTGTCCCACTTAAAAGTCCTACTGTACTAAAATTAAAGTTTAAAAAATATGAAACATAATGTGCTTTTAAATCTTGCATAATCTGAAGTGTGCATGACCTAGCATTAGGCTTTGAATTTCAGAATTCTTTCAAAAATAAAGTTTTCACACACAGTTTACATTTTAAAATGAAAATCTCAGGAACTTAAATGCAACAAAACTGCTTTTTACTTATTATAAGCAATATCAAAATAAGAATATTAAACAGCTGGGAACTGATTTGGATTTGTAAAACAGACAAGATTTTTTTTTAATAAGACATTTAAAATTATTCAATATTTTATATACTCACTATATAGAAAATATCTACAAGATAAAAATTACTCTTTTCTGTACAGCCTTTTTTTAATACATGTGTGTATTACATGCATATGTAAATTAATATATATTTCTATGATCCTTTGTTTCTTACAAAATAACTAAAATTTATTTCTGGTCATGAAAACAGAACTAAACTCATTCCTTTTTCTTACATTTTTTAATGTAGTCAATTAATTAGATGACAGGTTGCCAGTTTTCAATTCTCGATATTCTTCCATATTTATGCATAAATTTCTTTGTTTCAGCATACAAGTAACTGATTTTTTTTAAAAAATTTAGATACCTTTTAGAATTTTCAGAATCAATATTAAGAAAAAGAATAAAATTGCAGATTAGCTTGAATTACTGTCCTGCTAGCATGTTACTCTTGCTTTTTTAAGTAGGGCAAAATTCTTTAAAGAGAAAAAAAAAAAAAAAGAAGAAGAAGAAGAAGAAGAAGAGAAGAAAGAGAAGAAGAAGATAACCAGCAAATATTTTTGATAATTTTGAATAATTTCTCCCCCCTTTCCTATTCTCTGAACTTGGAGAGCGTAATTGAAAATATAGATTTGGTATTTTCTGATTACAGGGTTCGTACACATTTCCTTACATGAAAATTAAGGACTTTTAAGGACCATCAAAGAAAAAAATTAAGGACCTATAAGAAAAAAAAAAAAAAAAAAAAAAAAAAAAAAAAAAAAAAAAAAATTCACTTTAATACTTACCATAAAACAATTTTGAAAATTAAACTGACTCCCTACAAGTTATGAAGTAGATAACATTAAATTCAGAACAATTTCTTTAAAAACATGTATAAGTGTATTTTACACTAATAACAGTCACTATTTTAAAGATTTACATGATTATTATTTAACTTACTTGATATTTATTTAAACACAGTCAACTACTATTATAATCACAATGTAAGAATATTTTGCAGATTAAAATAACCGATTGTGAAATGTCCTTCTTGCGGCATTTATCATTCACTAACTGCTCAGCAATGAATCCCAAATAAACTTTACTTTTATCATTATAACAATTTGGATCAAAATTAAATTTTTAAAGATTTTCTGCTTTACTTATTTTTGAATATTCTAGTTTCAAAATTTTAAAGTGCTGAAGGCAATCATTTACAAGTTTTTAGATATCTTCAGCAAAAAAAGGGAATAAGTGATTTATCGCTTTGATAATATTCAAGGAAAGGCAAAAATATTTTCGATAGAGAGAGAAAAAAATTTAATTTTATAAGAAAGTGTTTTAGCCTTAGCTTGCTCTCCAAAATATTTGAGAAGGATTTTCAATGAATTTTTTTTAAACTGCCCCATTTCAACTTCTTTCAATGTACATGTAGCAAGTCATCCCATATCTCAATGGCTCTTTACACTGCTGGGACATTTTGCAACCATCGGTAAAAGTAGCACTTCACAGGTAGCTTTTTTAAGCCAGATATACTTAAAAAAACCTTCACGTCTTGCAGGAGAATCTTTAAAAATCCAATATAAGGAGGATAAGAATGATGGAAATGTCCCAGCCAGTGGATGACATCCCTATGCTTGAAAGCATTTGTTAAGAATGTTAAACGACATGTCCCTAATGTCAAGCATTGATGTTGTATTCCTTTGTCAAGTCCTGTTGCAATAAATCATAAAATTTCCAGTTTACTGCAGGACCATCCATCGATATTTGTAAGAGTTTTGACAAGTCTAGTTTTCAGCACATTCATAAATTTGGATAAAATAATTTCACTTGTTGCATGCTCTATAAATGCAGAAGTAAGGTACTGAGTTCTGACCTTATTTTCCGTGATGCCAGTACCTCACATAAATATCTAGTTGCTTCTTTTGGTTTGTCAGATTAAGAGTCTCATCAAATAGTAATGTAAAAAACTCAGCATTTTTTTACAATGCTTTAGTGAAAAAAGTTTTAAAAATAAGGGCCAAGACCAAAATAACAGATATAAGCACATTTCTTTTCACCACATGAAAAACTATTTTGCAATGGAAACTATCCGGGAACATTTTAGTGAACAAACGGCCCAATAACATCGCACGATTTAAAAGAATAGTGGCTTTATATATATATAATATATATATATACAGAACAAATTCAGAGATCCGGACATCCAATATCTGGAATGATCTAAAATCCAGACCTCAAAGCCACCAACCAATTTTTTAGGGCTTTTTTGGAGGGAAGGGGTATGCTTTACGCATGCGCATTAGATTTTTTCCCCTCATTATAAAAAAACATGCCAGTAATCCAGATTCTTAATCTCAGTTTGGCGCTAAATAAAATATCTCATTATTGAAGAAATGATTATTTTAGCATAAATTTGTGCGATTAGTAACTTGACTCCATAGCTGCGTATCTGCTTGGCATAATCTCATACCGAAACATTTGTTAATTTTACAGAAAGTAATATTTTATATCCTTGATGCCGAAATCGCGAATCATTATTTATTGTATTTTGCTTTCATCACCGCATGTTTATCAACGGATGACAACTTGAGTGATGACTCATGCAGTGACGCCAAATAACAGAGTATTATCCGATTACAGATTTAAGTTTAATGCGGTTTTTAAAATGTTGACAAGGGGAGATTTAACAGAAATTTTCTTTCCTTATGCTAAAATAGATTTTGTTAATGATACTCATAGGACAAACGATTATATTTAGTGCTATTTGAATTAAGAATAGCTGATTGTTATTACTAAAGCCAGAACAGCACCAGAGCTCGCATGGCCCACCAGGCGGCAGAATTTAGGGAATAAACAATTTTTCATGCGATGACATGGCCCATCATTTCTGAACTTCACTTTTTTTCGGCTAGCGTTACCGAATTTGCCCTTGGCGACCTAAAATCGAAATGGAGCCAACAGATTTCCCGCGAAATCGATAACAGACCCTCTGCAGAAATAAACTCATAATCCCGATATCCCATACATATAGTATGTGCAAAAGAGAATAAACTCCGTAGAAGGTGATAAAAAATTAATTTATGGCTTAATTGAAACAAACACAGAAATTAAGCTAAGCAAAACCATGTAAAAACAAATTGAAATGATAAAACGAAACTTAATTTTCATGTGAATTTTCAGCGCTGACTCTCCCATTCTAGAAATTTCAATTTGTTTCAGACAAAGACCACATTTAGCTTTATAAGGATTGTCATCCATCAATATCCAGTCTTTGTAGTCAGCTTGATGAAGCCACAGTTTATTGAAAATGCACTTTCCAGGCATCTCGTTCCTATTGGCGTCGGAAGGGTTGTGGCCTTCCAGGTTGGGAATTGCTCTAATTTTGGCAAATATTTTCAGAATCCCCCCCCTTTTTTTTTCTCGAGCACCTTCATCATCACTTTCTTTCGCCTCTTAAAGAACTTCCGGCTTCACGCTTTCGTCACAATCTGCCTAAATTTATGGATAACACCTGTTTCGAAAGATTGCGTGAATAGCCAATCAGACACCGATACTTTCGTTCTCGGGTAGCTAATTTTTTTTTTTAATCGTTTGCAACGCAAATCCGCCAACAGATTGGTTAAGAGCCGTGTAATTTTAATTCCATATTCATGAGAAATCGTAATTCACACTTAGAATGGCAATCATTAGAAAATAAGAAATGTCAAATGAGCAAAATTAAGGACCGTTTATTAATTTTGACCAAAATTAAGGACTTTTAGGTACCAAAAATCATTTTTGAAAAATTTAAGGACTTTTAAGGACCGTACGAACCCTGGATTACCTACAGATCATGAAAATTTGTTGACTAGTTGGCCAATCAAAAATATTTGCTGGACATATTTTAAAAAAGTTTAAAAGACTGTTTTCTTAATGCATTCCAAATAATTAAAAATATGATAATACGCCTTGTAAAATTGGAAATACATGCACACACACAAAAAAATTAGTTTTAAAATAAATTCTAAAATACCCCCTGAAATTACCTTGTTAAACCTTGAGGAGATAACAATGGCTGATTCATTTGTGTATACACAGGATTAGCAGGAAGAGCTGTAAATGCAGATGGAACTGTAGATTTCTTTAAAAGAAAAACCAAACATCAGTTGATTGAAACCATCACAAAGGTTGCAAATTATGACTTTTTATTAAACAGCATTCATAAGAAACACACACACTTAGAATTTATATTTTTGTATGTTACTGCACTAAAAAAATTTCAGCTAATAACATGGTGGAACTCACATCCACAGCTTCCTAAGATCTGCTCCCTGATGCCACATTTTAAAACTATTAGAGATTTTTACTATAGACAATAATACAGCAGAATTCCGTTCACCCAGAAACCTTGAAACGAAGGTTTGTATAGATTAGTGAATTTTACCATGACAACAACTGTACACCCACACTTTTCTAGATGTTTCATTTTTCCTTTTAAAATTTTTATACCGCATCTGGATTATTTGTGAAAAAAGAATTAATCTTTCTTATAATTAATTACACAGTCAGAGCAAAATGTGTAAAGTTTTTTTCTATTACCCCCCCCAAAAAAAAACTGAAATGTATTTCAGTTTTTTTTTTTTTGGGGGGGGGGTCCTTTAATGCTAATACAGTCAAAAGTCGTTAATTCGGACACCCATAATCCGGACCTCAAAGCTACAAACTTTCTGCGCATGCGTCACATTGAAGCATGTGCATAAGACATTTATGGCTGCGAATACGCGTGTGCGCATGCACAAAAATACGTTTACTCATGCACGTTTAATGTGTAACGGACGGTATAAGCTAAGCTAAAATTATCTAATTCAGTTAATGTTGCAGATTGCATTGTTCCTTAATCTTCGAATTGGATCCGGCTTATTTTTTGCAGACTGTTAGAGCAATTTTATAAAAGTAAGCTTGAACTTTCGATTATGTCAAATAGAATTTCTGATATATATTTACTAATATGTAAAGGATCTATCTACAAAGCGAAAGTATGTTTAGAAGTCCATTAAACAAAAAGTGGTATTGCTGCAAAAAATGGATAAAGGCATATCTCTAACCATTCCGAAATCTGTTTATCAATTTCACGCTGCTCGGCAGCAACGGTGAGGGGGCGGGAACGCCGCAGCGCGCAATGAATTGGAAGTTGATCTGTCAGCACTATCCTCATCTTCAGGGCACATGTTTTTATTTTATTTAGCTTATAATTCCTTACTAAATGTAGTATTTCATCTTGATGTACTCCGTCTTTGATATGATTTAAATCAAATTTCCCGTCATTATAATTCATTTCCGATAGTGAAGAAAGTGACACAGAGGTTATTGAAAACAAAATAGTTTTGATTGACAAATTAGTCGGTATTCTCGAGACAGCAATTATAGGACTTGAACAGCGGAACTTTGTAACTGAAGAAGAAATTATGTCTGTTTATAGAATTAAAGAGAAAGTATTATCACATAAAACGAAGCAACTTAAACAACTTACATTGAAAGAAATGTTTAATAAAGTAAACAAATAAATATTAAGCTTTTTTCTGTAAATTTTAATACCCTTTAGATCATAATAGTTCTTTATTTCATAAATTACGGTTTCATGTTTTTAATTTTATAATTTCTGCATGCCATCTTACCAGATTTAAACTGATGATCTATAATCCGGAATTGCCGAAGTCCCGACAAGTGCGGATTAAAGACTTGACTGTATAACCTTTCCAGCACTTTTATCAATAATGCATCAGGATACAATTCTAGAAAATCATAGTTTCCAATTTTTCAGATTTTTAATATAAAACTCTTAATTTAAAATTAATAAATGCATTAAACCAATAAAATCGAGAGAAGCTAATAAAAAGTATAGACGTCAAACATGAAAATTTGTATTAAAAATTCTCCCTGATAACAAAGTGAATGTTTATATAAAATACTTACGAAAAACTTAAAATAATTTTTCAGTGTGCTGTTAGGGATAAAGCTAAACTAATAAAATAAATTTTTAGTAAATCAAAGCAGAAAATTTAAGTTTTCAACTTAATTCCCCGCTAAATAGACGTCCCCATGCTACATATTGCATGCTTATATCTGACTCTCATGGTTGAGAAATACAGACTGCAATAGTCATAAAAAACAAATATGTATCAAAAGTTTTTTTCTATTACTCAATTTCATATTCTGAAACACAGCTACCAGCACGAATTTCTGGAAAACCACGAGTAAGATGAAAATGTGCCTGTAATTTCTATAGGCCTGACAAATGCCCATTTTCATGTTAAAGGCGTTTTAGTGGCCCTACATTTGAATTTGAAGAATTTTAAGAAAATTGCCTTGTCAGAATTTTGCCATAAAAAAACTTTTTTCCTCTTATTCTCGATGTTTTTCAAAACATTTTATTGACATGCTTGATAGAGATAAAATTTTCTGAAAATGATGAATTTTCAAAAATTTCACTTTATCTTATGTAATATGTGTTCCACCTGAACTTCAATTAGAAATTATAGATTTACAGTGTGACTCAGCAGTAAAATGCAAGTTTCTTGAAAATCTTTAAGAGATTTTTATTCAAAGTACGTGACTGAAAACAAGTATCCAGGAATTCGTAAACATGCACTCTTCATGTCTTCCGTCTTTGGCAGTACCTACATATGTGAACATCCTTTTTAGTAAAATCTAAATCCTAAAATCAAAAGCACGAACACGGCTGACACACAGACATTTGGAGGAAACTTTACGAATTGCAACAACACAGATTAATCCGGTTATTGAAGCTTTAACAAGCAAAAACTGTCAAATTTAACATTAAAACTAAACTACAATCTCCTGCCAGTTACATAAGTTTTCTTCTTCTTTTTTATTGTAAATGCATTTTGTAACATTCTGTACAATCATTTTTATACTTTTTTCATAGTTGAAAATCTGTAACACTATCTCCTTGCTTAGATTCAATTGTAGTCTTGCAAAACAAACCTCCTTTTTTATGTAAATTTTCTGATTACACTATTTTTTTTTACAGATATGCGACCCGTCGATCTTTGTGAATTTATTGATGTGGCCCTTGGGCATGAAAGGTTGAAGACCTCTACTTTAGAAGATAGAATCTAAATGTCTCATATGCATCTTTCTCTGCCACTACTTTCTCAAAATAACTTTGGAGTAGTAAGACTCAAGTGTTCATATGCCATAAAGACATTGTACGATTCTGAATAACTAACCACTTCTCTAGAATTTAAATTTAAGCCTAACGATTTTGTACACACACATATATTAATAGCAGACAGCAGTAAAAATATATGAATCGAAATCACAATCAAATCAATAATTCACATAATTAATTAAAACTGCAGTTATTCACATAATTAATATAACTCACATAATTAATATAACTCGTAACATTGCAGAGAAAAAATTATATATTTGAAAATGATACATATATATTTAAAAAAAATGAATAGATGCATTCTGCAGATGGAAAAACTTAAAATCAATATCCAAGCCAATAATATGGGATGTTATAATTACTATAATCACATAATACAAAACTACTTAAGTCAAGAAGCATATAATTACTTAAACAAATTCTGATTATAGCGTTGAGCACTCCTAGTTCCTAATATGAGAGTCACTCTGAAATTTTTTTTATAAACACATAGGTTTCTACAGTTATACTTACAAAATTTTTGGAGTGTTCAAAGTACAGTCAAAAGTCGTTAATTCGGACACCCATAATCCGGACATCAAAGCTAAAAACTTTCTGCGCATGCGCCGCGTTGACACATGCGCATAAGACCTCTTACGACTGCGCATTTGCATCTGCGCAAGCGCAGAATACGTTTCCGCGTGCGCATTTTATGTATAACGGACGGTATAAGCTAAAATTATCTATCTATTTCAGTTAATGTTGATGATTGCGTTGTCCTTAATTTTCGAATTGGATCCGGCTTATTATTTTTTGCAGACTGTAAGAGCAATACTATAAAAGTAAACTTGAACTTTCGATTATGTCAAATAGAATTTCCGATTCTGGAGCTTCCAAACTAGTATGGCTCGATGTCCATCAAACAAAAAGTGGAATTGCTGCAAAAAATGGATAAAGACATGAAGAATGTGACAGAGAGGTTAGTGAAAACGAAAAAATTTTGATTGACAAGTTAGTCGGTATTCTCGGCACAGCAATTAACGGGACTGGAACAGCGAAACTTTGTAACTGAACAAAAAATTATGTCTGTTTATAGAATTAAAGAGAAAGTATTATCACATAAAACGAAGCAACTTAAACAACTTACATTGAAAGAAATGTTTAATAAAGTAAACAAATAAATATTAAGCTTTTTTTTTGTAAATTTTGATACCCTTTAGATCATAATTGTTCTTTATTTCATAAATTACGGTTTCATATTTTTAATTTTACAATTTCTGCATGCCATCTTACGCGATTTAAACATGATCTATAATCCGGAATCGCCGAAGTCCCGACGAGTCCGGATTAACGACTTTTGACTGTAGTCTCCTCCAGCACCATCTATAAGACAATTTTCCAAAGATTAAATGCATCATGTTCTTCATTTCTTAGAATTGATGAAAAAAGTTCATTTACAGCCTCATCAATATCTTTGGAATGAAAACCACATCCATGTTAAGTTCTTTTTTAGATTAAAAAACAGCGAAGTCATGGATAGATAGATCAGGAGAAAAGAATATATGTTCTATCACTTTGATCTGTTTTTATTCAAGAAACTCAACTGTCAATCCTGTTAAATGAGAAGATGCATTGTCATGGTGGAACATGAGTCCTAACAATTACTTATTGATGATTTTCTGGGAGAGACTTAATAGTGTACCAGTTAGCTGCAACTATTTTCTGTCCTTCCAGCTGGAACACGAGTCCTAGCATTCACTTCCTTAGGAATTTTTGGTAACTTGTCTTCTGTACTTCCAGCTGGATGGCTCTGACTACTCTTGTACCTCTGAAGAAATGGCAATTACTTAATGGCACATACTTTACTTCCTTAATGTGTTGGAATGTCGAAAAATGGCATGTACCTTTCATCACTTCCTCACAATTTTAGAAATTAAGTGGTGGCCACCATCTCATAGTAATTTAAGAGTTTCTTTACTGATTCTGACACACTCCTCTTTCAGGTGCTCAGTTAAATTATGGGGAACCCAATGGGCAAACTAGTTTTTTCATATGCAATTCTTCATGAATAATTTTATGTATGGCAGAAGATCGAATTTTAAGTTCCTTCTGCATTATTTAGTAGGTGCAGTGATTATCATTGATTAACACTTTTCGTATGGCAGACACATTATCTGGGATCACTGCTGACAACGGCTTTCTTATGTATTCCTTCCCTGAAGAGAGTTGCACCTCCAAAAAAATTCTGTAAACCATCTCAATACAGTAGCATGAGATGGACCTTCTAAATGCTAATTATAGATGACACTAAACACATTCTTCTTGATTTAATTCGGCTTTAAAAATCATACCGTGATAATGTTCTTGCAGCAACTCCATTTTTCCTTCTGCCCAAAACTTATTCTATGCTTAACCACTTGCAACTGGCCAATAAAAAATCTTCTGCTAAGCTAAAAAAGTTTTTTTTAAAAATCTAACCATTATTATTAATTTTTTTTATTTTTTATTTATTATTTAGTTTTATTTATTTATTTATTTTTTTTTTTTGCCATTTCTCGTCTGCACTTAGCTCTAAAATTGCAGAATGACCTCTGTAATATTTACATTTTCCAATTTTTCGATAATATTATATAAAACTTATTTAATACATTAAATTAACGAAATGGGGTGCAGCTAATAAATAATACAAATTAATAAAGATATCAATCATGTTAAAATATCAGAACTATAAACAAACTAAATATCCAGAAATTTCATAATCTGTAAACAATTTAAATAAATAATACAAGATACCTCTTTGGATTCACTTGGTTTTTCAGAATCTGTTTTAACTGGTAAGGGACAAACAATGTGTAGAATGTGAATATCTTGCATCTATAAATTTAGGAGAGTGGGAGAATGAAGAAAATTAATTTTACATATAAAAAACTATCTTGAATTAATACACTATCATTATTTGTACTAAATTAATGGATAAAAATGTTTACTTTATTCAATGCAGACTCCAAAGGTAGATGATCGGGTAACAATTTCCCGCCATAAATTAATTTCTGATGCTCTCTTTGCTTTAAAAAAAAAAGTTTCAATTAATTTGAGATATATTTACAAATTACAAAATTAAACACACTTAATATAAACTTGTTAGAAATATCATCATAAATTACATACAAGCCAATACTACAGAATAACATTATATCTCCTCTAAATTAGAAACTATCAATCGAAAAAAAATAGTATACCAAATAAGAATGCAATGCACACATGATTTTTCAGCAAAAACACAGCTAATAAATCCATATAAATTATTTGTTAAAGAGAGAAATTCAAATTTATAATTATAATTCAAATGCTTTAATGCTAATAAAAAAGTCTTTTAGACTTAAAATTACTCTTCTGTTATCAGGACCAGATTCAGCAATGTATGTATGTACGTATATGTTAGTATATACAAACACATATATATGTATATACATATACACATGCATACATGTTACACATACATCCATAATATATATACATATGAATCCGACAACAGAACAGTGCCGATTTATTTTACTTGTTTGATATTAATAGAAAATAAAATATAATTTAAATACACCAAGTAACGAATACTGATGTAATAAACAGATCCGATTATTTTTCAAACTTAAAAGCCATTTGTGAGGCAGCCACCTAATACAGTTATAGTAAGGCATGTTTGTAACTGTCTGTTCCTTCATAGTAGGCAACACTGGTTGCCTATCAAATGCTTCCACAGTAAAATAACCACCACTTTTGGTGGTCAATGCTGAACAGGCAAGTGCCTGCCATTGGATAAAGAAAGTTTTGTTGATAACAGACATATTAAATTTGAAAGAATGACATCATAGTAGCACATTGAAGATAATCTATTTCAGGCAGTGGCAACACCTTTCTTTCAGATCTCCGTGTTTTCTTAATTAAATTTGGGGGAAGGGAAAAAAATCTTGCACTTTGCTGAAACACAATACACTGCTTTAAATTCACAGAGTTTAATAATGTAATAAAATTCTTACAAAAAATGTGCAAGGTGTACATGTGCAAATGGAGTACTACATGTATTCAAAATTTGGTCTCTACAAGCTGCCTTTTTTTTTTTCTTTTTTGACAATGTAAAGAACATACGTATGTGTCCACACATACGCATATAGATCTGCGATAGAACACAAAGAGATGAGAAAATCAAATGTGGGGTCACCGCAAGTCAGTTTTCATGCTGTTACATGGCCAGATGCAATAATTCCTTCCAGTTGACAGCAAAGAGACCTAACTTCATGACCAGTGCTAAGAGATTTTAGCATTCTGCACTGTCTGTTGTCAAAGCCTCTTGATTTCAGAAGAGCTGATGAATCGATCTTGTTTTGTTTCTAACCAAACAATATGCCAGAATGCTCTAGAAGTCTCGATTAGAAAGACCTGCTGTTAGAAAGTTACTTGTTCTAAGTTTTCCATATTATTTTATATAAATGTAATATAGCTTCTCATAATTGTAATAAGTATGTCTAAGTTCAAAAAAATGAAGTAGGTATTATACAAACTCAACAAATGTAATAATCATTACATGGAGTCATCAGCACGGTTACCATAGATACTTTATTTAATAACAGGGCCAAGAGGATTTCCCTGACACACACGGTAAAATTATCATAACTTACATTTATACAACAGTTACAATTCTTTTGAAATGTTTGATATACCCACTTGGAAATTGCTCATTTTTGTAAAAATTATCCCATCTGAGAACTAAGTTATTCTTAGAGATGAATACTTCTTGCAGAAAATTTATACGTCATTTAAAAAGGCAAAATCATATGGCAAAATATTATGCACAAGAAGTATAAGAATTTTTTTAAATAATTTCAAATATATCCTTGCATATGGTAAACATCAGTTTGTATCATAAAGTATGATTAACACCTCCAAGGTGATAATAGATGTTCATTAAATTATTACGAACGTCAACAAATATGGTAGGGTATGAAATGTTTTTCACATTCAATTTACCAATTTCCATGAATAAACAAAAGATATATGAAAAAAATGTTACATATCTTAATTTCTTCTTAACTTTCAGATAATGAAATAATGGTCAAAATATCAATGCTTTGGTAAATATAATTTAAACCATGTTCCTAATTTTTTAAATGCTTTAATCTTCTTTAATCTGAATGGTTTATCCATGAAAAGAACAAAGATACAGAATTTTAAAGTACACTCTTCTTCATTCCAAATCTTATATCCTGCATGCTAACAAGGTTATTTAAATCAGATATTTTACAAATAATATATTAACTAAACAATGCAAAAACTATAAGTTCAATAATAACACTACTAAACATATTAGATGACTTAACTAATCCGATTCAATAATCAAGATTATATTTAATCATCAAAATTTCCTCAAATAAAAAAAAAAAAATAATAATAATAATAATAATAAAAAAAAAATCAAGTTACCAACTGTTTATTTTTTATTTATATTTTTCTTCAATTCAGAACATATTGAAAATCATAATCTTGGTTAATTATATACAACTCATAATTTTTACAGATAAAATGTTAATAGTGGGATTCAAATAATTTAACAATCATTTTGATACATTAATGGCTGTTTTAGATATAAACACAGCATTTATTAATTAGTTTATCTACATCTTTTCCTAATACAATAGAACCTTTGCTCTTAAAAAAAATTGCTTTCCGACATATAACATTTTCCATTTAAGGTTTCAAATGATTTCTGCATAAATAACCTTAATCATTCATTGTGATTTTCCTGTCTTATTCATTTGCAAATCACATTCCCAGCACAGAATTTCCAACAAAGATAATTTGGAAAAGATTTTGAAGTAAAATGCATATTAATTATTTGCATCACCTTGTAAGGATTATGTTAATTTTATTAAAAGTTAAATTTTGAGTTAAACTCCTTTCCTGTCAAATTCTTAACTTCAACTAACTACTTCAGGCCAGAATGTAGTTTTTAGAATTGCATCTGAATACATAATGAGGAAGTGTGGTATTAAACCACAAAGTTCTACTTGCTGAGTTACAGAGAATCAGAGTTTCTGATTTGCGCGCATCCGCCTTGTTGGCTACTCTCTCTCAAAGCTGTTATTATGTGTGGCCGTACTCAGGCCCTTGATAGCTTCGCAGTCAATTAGCGTTAAGGGAACAACTCGGTTAGAATCTTAATAGCTTTGGCTATATCTCTTTAGTTTAGATTAGCTTTAGTTTATTTTTTAGCCTCTTAAGTTCAAGTGTTGGCTTTTATTGTACACTCCAAGATGGAGTTCTGTTAAATCTTAATAAAGGGTTATTTACCCTTCCATCTTGTTGTCTCACAAACTTAAGCGATTATTCACTTAGCAGTTCTTAAGATTCTTCACATTCAACTGTAAATTAGCATTTACAAAGTGAGGAACTCTACAACCTTCTCTTTGGATTTACCCAATGCAGTAATGAAATAGTGCTTTAATAAATAATGGGATCCCCTAGTTCAGCATCTATGCTACTTGCACCTTGTCCAATTATTCTTTCTCTTAAGTTTTCAGTTTAGATCTGCAAGACATATGAAAGATGAAGATAAATTAACAAGAGATTGTGCCAAACTTCATGAAATATTAATGAGTATCCCTATGCATAAAGTGAGTGCAATGCAGACCACAGAACCATTTTGTACGAGGAAAGATCATACTTTAAACCAAGACAAAATTCAGACAACATGTAGAAGACAATGTGTAAGTTTTTTTTTTTTCCCCTGTTTAAAAACATTTTTTTAATATGCAGAATTCATGTTGAAAATCAAACATTATTAATTTATATTATTCATTTGCCATGCATTACAGATTGTCAGCTTATTTTCCCATATTCATCCTTTCCAACCTCTTTGAATAAAGATCAAAGTTTCAACAATGATCTTAAAAAAACATGCAAACTACTGATAGCAATGATTGCAAACAAAACTTGCAAAAAAGATAGCATTAATTATAAACAAGCAAAAAAAATGCTTAAAAATCTAATAAAACCTTCTTTAATATGATTAGACTAAATGCAAAAAGACATAAAACAGAAATAATCCAAGACATACAAAAATAAAAGAAATACATGAAAATTTGATCTAAGAAATATAAAATAAAAAAATAGAGGAATAAGTTCTTAAAATTTTTAACCTGTTTCCATTTTTGATTTTGGCATATTTTGTCCCCTCTTTCTTGCAGTTTGCCCACTTCTGATGTTTGGTTTGTTCGGAATTAAATACGAGATGAATTTTAAATTCATTTTTTTTATTTTACCCGGACCGTTCCTAGACCCATTCGCTGCTCCCATATTTTCCCAAGATTGTTGTCCGCAAATTAAAAAAAAAAAAAAAATGCTGAGTGATTAATAAATTTTTTTATATGACAATCTGTATAAAAATTACTTGCGCATGACAAGTACTTATGATGAATTTAATAAACTTGAAATATTTAGGCTTAGTATCACGAGAGTCCAGCTGCTTATGGTTTTTGCCACCTGTGTACTTTTAAATGCTGCTCCCCTGCTAGAAACTGCCCTATATATTACTTTGCATTATCTATATATTATATATATAGAAGAGATAAATGGCAATAAAAACCAAAATTAAAAATTAAACAGAACACAGAATTTTTGAATTACAGAAAGACTTGCATTACAGAAAAAAAGCATGATGAAATATTCACAGGAAAGGATCATCTAAATTTTATCTTTGAGGCACAATCATAAATCAATAAAATCATAGGAAGAAAAATTTTTAAAATTTGAAATAAAGAAACTCATAACAAGAAATGACATAAACTTTGAAGCAATTTAAATCTGCTCAAAAAAACTATTCTTACCTATAAAGATCAATAACACATATCTATTAATAAAATGATTGGAGTATATATTTTAAGAAAAAAAAAAAAAAAAAAGCAGGCCAACACACAAATGTTACTATGAAAGCAGAAGCACATTTTTCCTTGTTAACAGAATCTGAAAACCAAGGTAATAGTATAATAAAAACAAAATTGTTGCAGAAATACTTACTGGCTTTGTAGGATACAGTATACTAATTTGATCTTTCACTTTGCCAATAGTCCAATCCAATTCACAATCCAGAGTGAAATCTTCAACACTCTGAGCTGCTGATTTTATAATTAACTTCACAGGCATGATTAATACGAGTACTGCAATTTAAAAAAATGAAGAAAAATTATTCAATAACTGTTTAACAAGAAAACACACTTTTATTAAAAATTTGTATTAATGGCAAATGTAACAAACAATTCATGAACTTTACATATATTATTCATAATATACACAGCAGAAGTAAAACTACAGTGTTGGTGAACATTTTTTTTTATTCAAGGCATTAACCTAAATAAAAAAATTCCCCTTCACGAAAGTTTAACTTAAAATCTTACCAATCCAAAAATGAGTAATATTTACTAAATATTACAGAAAAAGCAATAAAAATATAAAAGTTATTTTAATGCAAAATGAGCACACGATTTACGTTTCCATAAAATAAATTTCAATCAAATTGTTTTTCTACTCACGAATTTACATTTTAATTGCTTTGAACCTTGCAATAAGGTTTTCCATTATGAAAATTATACTTTCATAAAGTTCTATTGACATTCATCTTCACTAACTTCGCTGTATTAACTATGAAAACAAATACTCTGTAAATTATTCGAATGCAGCTCGAATCGATACTTCAATCATTACAAAAAGATATGCACTTTGAAATTCCTTTTAGCTCAACACATTTGCATGAATTTTAGCATACATTTAATATTTTTTTATGCTTTTAATGACAGAACTCATTTTACAGGGAAATTCACGAAGCATATTCTCATTATCATTTACAAAAACATTGATATTGTTTTGATATATTTCAGTTTACTTTAAAATCGAGGAACGAATCCACAGCAGATGGAGGGAGAAACCGATAACCAGCATTCTAGAATTACTAGATAAGCGTCTGCGAAAGATTAAAAAATGATGTTTCATGACATATGGAATTCGAAGTATTTGTACTATAGCTCGGAACTAAGAATTAAAATACATTTACTCATCGAATGAAATTAAATAGAGATACTTAATTTCAGTGTTTCAGAGATACTTAATTCAGTCAAATAACAGATATCAGTGTTTATACTTAAAAACGTATACCAATGAGATAAGACATCAAGGAAAACAATCATCGCCAAATTCAAACACTGTTGCACCTAGTATGAATAAGCTTTAATAAAGTAAGGTTTTCTTTTAATTATGGACGGAAGTTTCACACTTGTCAGGGACTCTTAGATCAACTGACAAAACTTTACAAATAACTTATAAGGTCGCATACAATCGCTAAACGAATTAGAAAATACAGTACATAACTTAAAATGCTGATGAATTTACGCATCCTTAGACATATATATATATTAAGGAAATATGTTACCTTTTGACCCAACAGTCGAAGGTTCTGACCCTGAACTCAAAATACCGTACGAAAGCGAAAGTGACTCACAAATTTTGCAACACTAAGTTAGAATTTATTAAGTATCATCTTACTTACCTTCTCACAGTTTAACACAAGTTTTTGAAAACCACTAGAAAATAGGCAAAATTATAAAACGAAAACTAACATCGGCTCAAACGCACACCCTTAACAATACGTATCATACAAGTAGTTGACGGTGTGGAAGATTTCGTAGTTGATTTCATGAGCTAAAGCTTTATTTGGCAAAATCTGATTGGTCCGCGTTCGGCCTGGTTAGCTGACAGCGGGATAAGTCACGTGAGATGTAATGGTACCGTAAACCCTCTGCTGTGCTTTAATGATATAGAAAGAGATCCTTCCTTGCTTATTTATTTTTTATTAAGGTTGACGTGTAACTCAGTTCGACGACAGATTTCTCGTTTTAAAAATGTCATCATGCAATGTCTAGAGAAAAAAAAGCCTTTGTCGAAAGTTAAGTTTGCGTGCGTACAGCGATGCGTGAATATACGCTTTTCAAATTTCGAACTCTTTCAGGTTTATACTGTCATGGTAAAGAAATTAAAAAGTTGACGGATTTATTTATTATTCAAACAGTAGATCCGTTATTATAAATTCCTTTATGTAAGTGCCTTTTGATTAACTTCAACATAATCACTCACAAAATTGCATCAGTATATACATTAATGCAATTAATAATACATGACACACAATTAATAATACAATAATAAGGAAACTTTCCATGTACCATCTCCAACGAGCACAAATTCAGTTTAAAACCATGAAGTATTCAGATTTTATACTTTATTACTGAAAGATATTTCTAATCGAAAACGAAAACAAAATTTGGATATACTTTTCATGAGTTACTACTTTTCACGAATTACCCCTTTAATGGCGCATTTTTCTAATGATGAATGAAAGGGAAAATAAATAAGTAAATGAATAAACAATACATAAGCACAAATAAATAAATAATAGTAAATGAAAAAATTTAAAAAATAATAATAAAGTAAAATTAATTTAATCTGAAACAAAATTTTTACCGAGGTATTACAATATAGCACCTCAGCTTCAAAAATGAGTTTACCAATAAATATTTCGAATACTTTAAAAATATTTTAAAAATTGTAAAAAGCTTATAATTAAAAACCGAGTGATTGTGTACCACTACATAACATACACTATTACACGTTTCTTTTATGAATTACTAGCCGCTACGCGGCCAGCCTTCGTCTGGCTTTTAAATGTACCAGAAAAATGTCTAAACACCAAACATTAAATTTAAAAACTGCACAGAATTTTACTCTTCAGAACAACTTTAGCAAAAAAAAAAAAAAAAAAAAAAAAAAAAAAAAAAAAAAAAAAAAAACAGAAAAAAAAAAACCGAAATTTCAATAAAAATGTATTACATATAAAAAAACTACAATGAACTAAACAATATCCCTTAAGACAAATATTAATTATCCTAATAAATAAATTAACGAACTTCTCGTTGCAAAATCTTAAGAATTCAAAAGGTATAAAGGAAGTTAACTTTGTTTCCTAAAAAAAATCATACAAAACTTTTTACATATTAAAATTATATATATTTAAAAATATATATAATTAAAATATTATAAAAAATATAATAAATAAAGAGTAAATCTCATCTTTTGAAGAGAAAACAGTCAGCAGTCCAGTATCCAAAGCAATGAATGAAAAACTGTTGCCAAAACCACATTTCTAAAAGAATGAAACTATCATCAGAAAGCAATAACCAATCAAAAGTGGATAACATAATTCAAAAATATACAAACCTTTTTGCCATTAGATAATAAAAAGAGAGAAAGAGAGGGGGAAGGAAATTTTTTCTGTTATATGCGCGTCAGAATAAGAAGATTGCGATGTGCGTGTTGCCTGTATAATTAATAATATTTTATCTCAACAATTTTTAACAGTCAGCAGTCCAGTATACAAACCACTGAATGAAAAACTGTTCGCAAAACAACATTTCTGAAAGATTGAAACTATTAAAAATGATGCAATTTCATCGAAAAAGATAAAATTAAAAAAAAAAAATCTGATTCAAATTTAAAAAAAATCGCTTTGATGTGCACTGGTTCTTGTCTAGATGAACCCTATGTACTCAATTTCGTAGCCCTGGGTCTATTAGCTTTCGCGCAGCACGAACGAAAAACACACAGAGAAATTCTTTCTTTTATTATATGTAGAGATAACCAAGCTCCGAAAGCTTGTACGAAGTTTCAGCTGGATATATCGTAACTTAAATACCTTTTAAATTATATTAATTAATCACATTGCTAAAGAAGGCTAACATAAAAATTTTAATTATCAAGAGGAGAATGATTTTAAATCGGCCACAGTAAAAATGATCCGAATATTTTAGAATTAAATTTATTTTCAAATTTTTAAGAGCTAAATTTTAAAATTTTCTTTTTTTTCTTTTTAAAAGCTAAATCATTTTGGAATACAACTGCTGAATATAGCATTAATTTGATTATTGCTCGATTGATTTTTGAATTTCCAGAATGATATTTTACTCATGTGTAGGGCCGGCCTTAGATATTTTGGCCGTAGATATCAGATATTTGCCCCCCCCCGGTGCAATATACGTGGCTTGTAAATTGCGCCCTCCAATGCCTTCCAAAATTTAACAATTCAACCCGTCGTTTGATGCAGCCGCACAGGTTTCAACGAGCAGCCCAACCGACATAAGGGTTAGCTCGGGTTCGAAACACGGAGAGAGCATGGATGTTTGTAAATGTATAGTGTTCATGCGGCATGGGAGCACTCTAAATATACGGCGAGTCGAATGTCCTATCGAGATGTTGGTGGTAGAGGAAGAGAAGTGGGAGACTCTCGGACCCGTCCTCCTGGGGTGCTCTCCATCAGAACTGGGAACGGAACTGAGCTAAATCGCGCTGTCACCTATAAGGTGCTCAAGGCTGTTGCCAACGATAGAAGTATCTTGCGCTCCTTACCATGAGGAGTTTCGTGGACTTGGTCTGATTATAGGTCAGACAAGTGAGCATTAGTCAACAACAATAACACGGTTTCACGGGCTCTCCCACCGCCGCTGCTCATCAGTGACTGAAGTTGCAGAACGCTAGATTCCAGATCTAGTCCCCCTGGTACTTAAATGGGATGCTTATTCCGTATTTTCGTGGCTTTTTCTATGCGTAAAACCAGTATCAGACTGGAAAATAAGTTTTTGTTTCATCCTGTCAAACAGCACATTTTCAGGAATCCTATGTAGCTAGATTCTGTGATCCTTCTGCTGGAGAACTAAAGAAAGTGTATGTAAAGAAGGAAAGCTTCCATTGCAAACCAGTTTGACTATTGTAACGCTAAATCGTGGAGGGACAAAGTCTTGTTCCCCAAATCATCAAGTTCACAGGATAATTGAGGAATACGATACAAAACCAAAGAACATCTAAATTGGTTCTTTTGTCACATCTTTTCACGATAATTTGAACTGATTTTCATAGATTTTTGAAACTCAGAATAAATAATCCGTTAATTACATCCATCTAATTGCGAGGGTCACTGATCTGATTTATGTTGATATGGCGGGAGGGAGGGAAATGATGTCACAGCACTTCCGACTCTTCACACACGTGATCTTCGACTTACCACAGCTATTTCGTCCATGCTCAAATGCTCAAAAAGGTTTTAAGGCTGGATGGGTAAACTCCGTATAAATTTTTCTCCCTGCGGTCCGACGGAGCCACTTCTGCTTTGGCGAAGCTTTCTTTCTTAATCTTAGAAGTTCTTTGGCATAAGTTTCGCTCTGATTGGTAGATTTACAAGATAACAGATCAGTGACAGCAACTTAATAAATCTCAAGGTAAACGCTTGAAGTTTACTTTTCAAAACTAGTTCTAGGAGAAAGCGTTCAAAGGGAACTATCTCTTCAGTTTCTATTCCTTAATATGATATGCTCTTAACGAAAAGGAGAAATAAAAAGGTCCCTATCCTTAAATTATAGCCTTTAAGTATTCCTTCACAAAGGTAATCTCTAACAACCTTGAGTTTTCTATGTTAACTTCAGTGAAACATATATTTTGCTAATATTTTAAACTTTGAAAGCAAACCTCACGTTTAGAGGATGATTACTTTAAAAGTATGTGCAAGATAAGCATTGCGTTTCAGGGTGAGTCTAGTGAAGATAGTTTCGATGGTGGTGAGACGAGGGAACTTACGACTAGGCTAAATAACTAGGCGGCATGTGCTATACGCAGGATTAATAGCTATGCAATATCTGTAGGACAGCGTTTCTGAAACTTTTTTAAAGTGGAGACCACATTTTATAAATAACAATGCTCCGCGGTCTACCTTACCCGTTCCCTTCGAAAGCATTTTTTTAAGCGTATGTTACTATAAGTATTGTTGCGAGCGTGCGGGTTCGTAGTAGATTGAATGCGCGAATCCGATAAAATGTTAATAAAATTTATTCTGTCACAAGGAATATAACAAAACCATGGATTTTTCCTCAAAGATATTCGTACAATATCACAATATCACATAATATCACGCAGTTAGTTATATATTTTTAAATATTCACGCAGAATTATATTTTAACCTAAGGATTGCACGTTAGTTATATTTTAAACTACTAAAACGTAAAGCAAAATCCAATCCAAAGCAGGGCCCACCAGCGGCCGAGCGGTAAAGTCGCTGAACACTGGTAGTTCGGTCCGAGGTTCGAATCCCGCGAACGGGCTGGCTGCATGGGCGTTTTCGTGGTTTTCCCCATGTGTAACGTGTATACGAGCCAGTTTCCCTTAGAAAGTCCTCCACGAAAGGCATCCCTCCCCTTAGGCTAGATAGCCCTAGTGTGCTTTGCCATAATTAAATACACCACACCACACCACACCACCAATCCAAAGCACAGAGAAAGCTAATCCGATTTCACAGCAAATTCGTTGCAATAAGCTGTGATGTTGAGAGGCCCCAACTTGTCAGCAATAGTAGTAGTGACTGCTATGAACTGGAAATTACACAGACTTTTAAGAAGGGTTTAACTCCCTTTTTATTTCACTTTAGAAGTCACAGTTGCGTTCACCCGACGCTCACAAACTACGCCGACCCGGCTGTTAAACAAAAATAGAAAAATACAACTAAAAATGAATGACAGGATGAATAATTAATGAAATCACTATCTACGAGGCTCTTTAATTGTAACTATCTTAACCGCGTTTTAAGATACAGCTGAGATTCAGCAAACTTTCTGATTAAGAATTTGAAA